TAACAGTTGCACGTTCACGCGGTCAACACACTGCATCACAACAATCAGGCCCGCAGAGCTATTGAGCATGGCCCAGGAGGACTTGGGAAGCAGCGCAGACGCACACCATCAGGAGTGACATAGGGAGTGTGGCCCCCTCCCCATCATTTTGGTGAGGGGGCGGCGCGGCGGCCTCGGCCCCCGCAAGCCAGCCCCCTCTTCCTAATTTTACGCGGGCGTCACAGCCTGCGTAGTCTCTCTCTCTCTCTCTCTCTGCTTTGTGCTTGTTGAGCCGCTCGTGCAGTGGGCTGCAACCTCGTGTGTGCTTGAAACGTGTGTTGCAACGTCACAATTTTGCTAGTGAAATGGGTGATGCCCGGCCCCTCCACATACACACATCAACATGTCCCCACCCCACCCACGCAACCCCAATCCCTGAACCGCAGGTCTGCAACTGAAGCCCTCAAAATCGTGGGCGAGTCATACCCCTGGACTGCGGCCCCAGGCTGGCAACCCCACCGCCGCGTGCCACCTGGTGGCATCAACGAGACGACACCCGTGCACTTTGGGCAGTGCGGAGAGTACCGACCATCCACAGTTGCCCAGGAACACAGCACTTTTGTGTACCTTCGCTCAAATCACAAGGTGCGCTTGGGGTGGTCATCAACAGCTGGGGTTCAGCGACCTTGTACCCAACCTTGGAAAACACATCAGGATAATGCCCTACATCTGGCATCCCACCTCGCTCTGCATACAAAGTGTGAATTAGGATCAGGATTCGGATGGGGCCAAGGATCGTATACTGTCTGGCGGTTGCCTGCTTCGAGAGCGACCCGGGCACGTGAATTTGGACGCTGAAGCATGTGTGGCCTCTAGCCTCTGCTCCACTTCCTGCAAATTGTCCCAATGACGCCATCACCACCACCCAACACCTGTGGTTCAACAAAATGCAGAGCGTGTTGGGCATTGGCGCGCTGGCGCGTGAGCACGGCGCGTCCATTGCATGTGTCGACGAGGAGGGCATGGAGGCCTGGCTTTCTTCCCCCAAAGGTGGCAAGATTAATTTGCAAGTGACATTTGCCTGACAGATGCTGCATGCTTAAGTTTATTTGAGACACCAGCTGATGACAGACACGTCGACTGCGTTCAAGGTTGAGACCATCATCTCTCCGCAGACAGGGAAGGCGGGGATGCCCGCGCTGGTGGCGCTGGTGATGTGACCTACAGCTTGATGGGCTACCCCCCTAAAGACAACTATGAGGGACGCATGTACCCGCTGGATTGGATCAGCAAGGTGGGGTGGTCTGGGCCCGGCAGCCAGCTCTACCTAGGGCTGTAGATGGGGAAGGGGAGTTGAAGCAGGAGGTAAGGTAGAGGATCAGAGGGGAACTGGGAAAAGTAAAAGTGGCAGCAGGCAGGGATGTGCGCGCTGGCACCCTGGACCACATCATGCAGGAAGGCAGTAAGGGCATGGTGAGTTTAACAATCCACTTCCATAGCACTTGCGGTCAGGTCACAAATGCAATCGTGAACTGGCAGGTGCATGCGCGTTCGTCACAACGCCACAAGTGGCTGGTGGTGCTGGACGCTGCAGCCCATGCACCCACTCACAGCCTGGACCTCTCAAAGCAAAAGCCCGACTTTGTGCCCCTCAGTTTCTACAAGCTCTTTGGACTTCCGACCGGTGAGGGTACGATACTGACGCCGTAGCCAGCAGGCAATGTGCATTGGCACCACCCCCTGGGTCATAAATATCATGCACGTCTTGCCTTGTACCCATAATTTCTGGGCCGCAATATCTTGCCGCTTCTTTTGCTCCCTTAGGCGCAGGCGCTCTGGTGGTGCGCCGCGAGGCAGCGGCGGTGCTGCACATCGAGTATTTTGGTGGTGGCAGCGTTTTGGACGCCACTGCGGAAGGTTGCTGGCGCATGGTGAGCACACTAGTCATCTACAATGTCAGGTTGTTTTGATGATGTGATTTGCTGCTGGCCGGCCGCAGCTTTTGTCATAGTTGAAGGGAGCTAATGCTTTGTTTTTATGCCACAACATGTACCTGTACCTGCATTCCTGCCTGTGCTGGCCACCCCTGCTGCTGCAGCTGATGCCTGTCCCTGAGGGCCTGGAGGCAGGCACCATGCCGTTCCTCGACATCATCAGCCTCAAGTACGGCTTTGACCTCTTCAAGACCATGGGGGGCATGCAGGTGCGTGGCTAAGGGGCAGCCACAGGGCAGCGAAGTGTGGTAACATTTGCTGGCAGGATGCGCGGTGGGCAGAAACAGCAATCCTGAGGCAGCTGCAAGCTTCTGACAGCTGCCTGACCATTGCGTACATGTGACACGAGAAGGATTCAAAAAATCTATGCATCCTGCTAAGGTCGTCCTGTCCCACACACACTCATGCACACACGCCAACCACACGCACGCGCACACACGCACACACGCACACGCACACACACACGCACACCCGCCCGCCCGCCCGCCCGCCCGCGCGCACACTTGCGCGCGCGCGCACACACACACACACAAACACACAC